TTGATAAAATTCTTTACATCAACATTTAAAACTTCATAAGATCATATACAAAGCTGACACGATCCATATTGAGATCATGAAACTTCATAACCAGCACCTTCACAAACCATCCTCAAGTTCCAGTTATTGAACTACGATGATGAACAGAGAAGTGAGTCTCCATAACCGAGGAGCAACGACAATTCAAACTGATTAAACCCAGCTGGGATTTCAGACCACACGACATATGCAGGTCCCCAACCTACATATACCAACCTACCCTCGGATTCTCTAAAACAAGAACGGGTCCGCGCCACCCGAGAATACAGTACTCCACCAATTCAGCCCATTGCCACGTGGGTACACGCTATTCCCGCCATCTCTCCACTCCCAGTGCGCGAGTAGCCATTCTCGTGATAGAATAGCCAAGTTAAGGCTTACCGGAGTATGTGGTTAGTACTACAAAGTCTCACCTCATGCGGTTCAACAATGGTACGGGCCTTAATCGACACAGGCAGAAAGAACCCGCTCACAAGACCTCCATGTCTTATGACTCACACACACCGAGTCCGTCCGGTCTAGATTTCTTACTCCACATGCTCCTATCTCATGATAACATAAGTAACCAAAGATCCATTTAAAACTTGCAGGTGATAGGTAATCACCTGACTTACATCGTTCTAAACATAGCTAAGCAAAACTAGGAATATACGAATTAAAACTGGTAACAAGATAGATATGAAAAAACAAGGTTAGTAATGCATCAATTAGGTTTCCACTTGACTTCTAATCACTTAATGCAATATATAAAAGCAAAAGCGAAATAATTTTTGTATGAAATAAATCATTAAAGGTTACTATTTGCTTTTATGAATTAATTATTTAATTAAGAATTATGAAATAAATCAACTTGTTCCAATTGACCTCAAAATTTTTGTAAATGTTAATCACATGATAACTAAGTGGCAAAACAATTTTCATAATTTTTGGATAAATAAACAAGCCTAGAAAAATCACGAAAACTCATTTATTAATTAATTGAGAAATTTTTATCACATTTAAAAAGTACTAAAAACAACATTTCATATTTTTCATAAATAATATACATCACAGAGAGTTCACACAAAAATTTTCATAATTTTTGGAGCTCTAAATAAATCTACACAAAAATAACAAAAACTATCACTATTCATCCATTTCTGAAAAAAAGAAAATTCATTTTTTAACTACACAGTCGCTGACACGGTGACCCCACATGTCATCCCCGACCTCCCACTTTGACCATGACGACGACAGCACTGACCGACGAAAACTCGTCGACGGTGAGACCAACGGCGACGACCAAGGTACCAAAACACTCCCCACAGCACCTCGCATCGATTGAAGACACTAGCTGGACTAATTACGGCGAGTTACGAGCTTGGGGTCGGCCATGGCGAACGCGGCGGCTCGGCGACACCACACCGGCGAAACAAGGCCGGTAGAGTGTAAACAAAAGGCACGGGAAGGTTCAGCAGCTCACCACGAACACGTTGGAGCAAAGAGCGAGACCGGAGAAGCAACGATGACGCGGGTCAACGATCACAGCGGCCACGGCGGAGCAAACTTCGGCGACGGCGGTGCTCAGGCGATTGTGATGTACAAAATGAGCAATCAACCGGTCATAGAGCATCACGGGAACAAGGCGGAGCTAGAGGTGCACTGAGCAAGAGCAAAGGCTCACTGGAGAGCGCTGGCCACGACGGCGCAAGAACGACGGTGAGGTTGCCGGCCGCGAGGAAGAAAGGTGGCTAGCAGCGATTCTCAGTGAAATCAAGTGACCCCAGTTGGATGGCTAGGCACGCAAGGAGTAGGCAAAGCTATTGAGCGCTTTGCTACGACGGCACAGATGTTGGTTCGACGGCGAGGGCTCGACGAAGATGATCGGCGATGTCGGGAAAAGCAGAGCGAGGAAATGGGGACAAACGGCGATGGCTCAGGCTAAATAGCTTGGCTTAGAAACAAGGAGAAGCCACGCCACGGTCTTCACCACGCCAGCACGACGCCGAAGACGGCCACGACCGCGCCTGGAAGCAAACAGAAGGTCGTCGGCGGTGTAGCTTAGGCGGCGAGCACTGTTCCACATAATTACAGAATTGTCATTCATCTAAATTTCCAAATTACTCCCAAATTTGTGTAACAACTCAAAAATCTACAAAAATAAAAGTTGTTCAAAATTCAAAGTTCTACAACTTTGCTTTTATACCCATACCCAAATTCGGTCTACATTTTGAAATGCAAATTTGAATTCAAAAGGGGACACTTTAAGTACATTTCGCCTTTTCAAATTACTTTAAATTTTTCTAAACAACTTTGAAAACTCCAAAAACAAACTTTGTACAACTCAACAAACTCTACATTTTTTCTTTAAGGCTCAACCCCAAAATGTACTTTGATTTTGAAATGGGTTTTCGAGGTAAAACAAATCACTGGAAATCAGGGTTTTCGGAAATCCAAATCAACACAACTTAGAACTCAATTCAAACCATACAAGGCAACACTCCTAACATAAATGTAAACTTGTTTTAATGAATGCATATCAAAGTTTGCAATATGACCAAATGCCTTACAATGCATATGATGACATGTCCTGTTTTAGTATTTAAAACACCTGGGGTGTTACACACAGTGGCGGGTATAACTGACCGAAGCGTCCGGTCAGCCCGCAGAGTGCTGACTCAGCCTCCAAATGTTATGTTTTGAATGAGGGGGTATAAATACTTACTACACTCATCCATAGGAGGTCTCTTGCCCATTTGTTTAGCTAAGAAACACCTTTAGAGTGCAAGAGAGAGGAAGAGCCTAGTGAGATGATTGAGATTTGAGAATCCAAGATTAAGGGCCTCATTAGTGAATAGATTGTAGCAAGTGTGCATCAACCTTTCTTATTTGGCTTGTCTTGGTCAAGTGAGAGTTTGTGCTTGTTACTCTTGGTGATCGCCATCACCTAGACGGCTCGGTGATGATTGGGAGCTTGGTGATCATCCGGCAGAGCTTGTGGATGACCCAACTCAAGTTATGAGCGGTTGTGGGCGATTCACCACGATGGAGTGTCAAAGAATCAGCCCATAGAGAGCACTTGATCCTTGCGTGGATCAAGGGGGAGCTACACCCTTGCGCGGGTGCTCCAACGAGGACCAGTGGGGAGGGGCGACTCTCCGATACCTATTGAAAACATCGCACATTCCTTTTCCTCTCTTTACTTTGAGCATTTATATTTGAGCAATTTATTTCATGTCTTTACATTTCTAGAATTGTCATGCTAGAGTAGGATTGGAACCTAGGGTGCAAAACTTTTGTGCGTAAGAACAATAGAAACGCATTTTAGGCACAAGGGGTGAAGTGAGCTAAGTATAGGGCTTAATTATTGCAAAGAATTTAGAATTAGCCCAATTCACCTCCCTCTTGGGCATCTTGATCCTTTCCCAAGACCATTAATGTCCATCGGCCAAGGACACAGCGCATGCACTCCTAGGCCTGGATCGGACCTTGTCGTCGGAAGACAGGTGAAGAAGTTAGACCCACATACCTAACCGCCACACACCACGGAGCTTCCCCTCCGTCTCCAAAACGTTGTGCCGTTGTCATCATTGGACACCCCAAAACTCCTGTACATGAGCCGAAGGAATCTCCCGATCCTGCTGACTCTAACCCTACAGGCCTACCGCCGGCACCAGAGCAAGTGACAAAGAGGTGGAAGAAGGCCTAGAGGACCTTATTCCACATAGGTGGCGCCACCTCCACCTTGCAAGCACCACGGGGAAACCTAACCCAACATCTATAAGGACTACGCTATCAGGTGGAGAACGAAAAATCCTCCACACATCTGAGGCCAGGCAGTCCATTGGAGTCGTAGGGTATCGAAGTCCTCGCTGGCGGGAGCACCTGGAATGCTCGCCCCTTTCACAACCGCCAAGAGACAAAGAGCGGGTTTGAGAAAAAACACACCAAATTCTTACTTGGCAAGCGAAGCAGCATAAAAAAAACAAATGGGCCCTAAGGGTCTGCTTGTTATTGGTTCATAGGGGACTGCTTGGAACCTTTGTCAGGCACTGTCTCCTTGCTGAGTTAGAAGTTGGAGTGGGCAAGATGTTTGGATTCTTAGCCAACTTACCTCGGGTTCTGCACTGACAAGTTTTTCCTTGCCCAGGCAGGCTAGCCAAATTGGCTCTCCCGACCTAGCAAGGTTTTGCTTGCCCAGACAGGCTAGGTGTGCTTGTTAGCTGAGAAATCAAGCAGCCCCTAGGAGGCTTGCCTCGCCTAGCCTGACTGAGCAAGCCTTGCCTTGCCAACACAGGCGCGTGAAATTCGCGCTCTGAAGAAGTAAGCTTAAATCTTGCCCACACAAGCTCCAAGGCAAGCTTGCCTAGTATCCAATCACTGTTGCTAGGGAAGGCAGCACAGTAGGATCCAAGAGGCCCCTGATTCTCCCGTGGTCTTCCCACTTGCCAAGTCAGGATCGGAGTGGGGATTTGGCTCAGTTGGCCACTTGGCCTGGCAAAGAAAAATCTTGAAATCACGATCGCCATGGTAGCTGCCTAGCTGGCAACTGGCACGGGAACTAAACGCAGCAATTCTTCCCCGGTCAGGCAAGCCAAGGTCAAGCAAAGAATCCAAAACGCCTAACAATTGAAGGCATGAATTTCATAGGAATTGAGAAAAAAAAATATCAGCAATCCATACATAACTCGAGGGAAATTCGTGCGCACAAGCATTTCCCAGAGGAAGCTTTAGAACAAAGTTACAAACTGTTTTGGCAACACGCACCTTCACCCACTTCACAGAAAGATGCACCCGTTTCTATTTATTATTATATATTAATATATTCAAGCCAGATGACTTATAGACAGAAGTTGCAGTACAGTGTTCACTTCAAATTGGCCAGGACGGTAGTACTAAATGAGGGACATACAACGTCTTATTCTGGTTATACAACACAGGACACAGGGTGGAAGAGCCCAACAGGTAGCTTTCAAATGGTCTCAACGAGCTTCGACAGCTTGGCCTTCTGGCTTGAGGAGCTTGTCCAGATACTCCTTTCTGAAGAGATGCAACGACTCCATAAGGAACATGCCATCATGAGAGATCCAAGATAGAACCGTGATGACAATGGAACTCAAGAGTTTACCTCGCTGGCAGATGGTCATGGGGACGGTTGTACGGCGTCCAAACAGGCTCACCAACAAAGAGACGCATTGCCTGCAAAAACATGATTATGATGATCACAATAGCACAGCTCCAGTAACAATGTCGCAGATTCTCAAGTTAATCTTGCACAACATTGTACAAAAGATGTGGAAGGTTGTAGCTTCAAGTAAATAGTGCACATCATTCTATTAACAACAAAGTAAAATTTGCAGATTATTTGCTATTTGGTGATGATGTTACTTCTCAGCAACAACATGATTTCTTCAGTCAGAGATTCAGACATTCAGATATGAATTCAAGTCCAAAGGCACTCATATGATCGTGTTTTCACACAAAATTTTGGGAGTCCATACATTATAATACAATGCTTTCAGTGCAGAAACTCAAATGGAGGCATGTGAATCAAAGTTCATAAATATGTGTCAATTTCAAAGGAATTCCAGAACAGTCACTGCTCAATGACAGCAAAAGTGATATGTGAAATTCATTTTCTCACTAACATATCTGATGAATCTGATCCTATAGCCTGGCAAGCTCAATACTCAGTGTCGTGTGCCGTAAGGTCGAGCTCAAGCAGAGGGCTAGGCCTGTGTCTGCCACTACCGTGGCTGCTATGAGCACGTGAGTTAGCTAGTTCGGCAATCTTATCGATTAAGGAGTTATCGCAGAATAGATCAAGCAAGTTATCTCTAAAACCTATCTTCTCCTTAACTTCCTCACACAACACCTGCTCTCCCTGCGCATCGCCTCTACTACATCAACACCACAGCCTCCACAGCGGCTCCAGAGTCCAGGCCACCATGCAATTCGGGGGCCGAGATCAACCACCAACACAACTAAGGCTATTATCCAACAAAAAATAGTGCAATAACACATGAGTACCTTGATGTAGTTGTCATTGTCCAATGTGAAGCGGTGATACATCCCTGCAGGAAGAACAATCATACCTCCTTTCTTCACTGCTACACGGATCCACTGGTCATTTTCATCCCTCACATCAAAGTATCCTAGAAAACATAATCTTGTTTCTTAAAATGTTCACATTGTGATATGGTCAGACATAACAAAATACATACCACTCCCTTCGAGGCAATAGCGTATTTCTTCATCAGTATGCAGGTGCTCTTCAAAGAAATTCTTTATCTTAGTCTCATAATTTGGCAGCTTCTCTGGGCATACATCACAAATGTCCTGTAAATAACCAATCAATGATTGCCTATTATATTTCTTATATTTGACTTCACTAATATGGAACACTACTAGGCTCAAACATAACATAATAAATCATCATTGCAAGTCAAGGAGTACAGACAAACCATGTAAGAGTACCCTCTAGCTTCACGGATTTTCTTGAGGTTCTCATCATTCTCCCAGTTGTCAGGATTCAGGCGCCAACTGATGATTCCTAGTTCTAGATATAAAATATGCATTTGTTTTAACTTGTACAAGCAGGGAATTAAATATATGCCACTTGTACTAGAGTTCAAGCACAAGCTTAGTTAATAAGTTGAACTGCCAATGTACATACCTGAAAGCTTCTCAAGAGGAATAAATTCTTTGGGATCACGATGATGAGGAAGCCTCTGGTCTTCTTGACTATCATCCATGTACCATGCTTCAATAACCTCCTGCTTACCATCCTATTGAAGGAAAATAAAAGGAATAAGCTTATAAGTGCAACCATCTAAGACAGGTGACAGTACAGATAAGAATGTGCAAGTTGATCTATGGTTAGTCATAGAAGTAATGCAACTGAACACATCTATCAGCATAAAGATGGCAATGACAACTGGTATTAAGTAACAGGTCTATGAACCTTTATTTTCTGTATGTGTGAAGCATGTCTGTGCTATATGCTATGTTTTTGTGTTCATTAGGAAAAAAGGGGCAGAGTTTTTTCATTCGAACTTTTAAAATGAAAGAGCCTACATCACGAGGTTCCTAATCTTTACTTTTACCGGAAACTACGCCTTGAAATTTGTCTGTCATAAGTCAAATGTTAAAAAAGGTTTCTTTTTGCCGATTACCAATTTCCATAGCCGATCTTTCTTTTTCACAATTTACCTAGTTGTTCCTGATCCTTTAACAAAATAGACAGACATTTTACAAAATTACAATCCTCAACAAGAGAAGACAAACAAAAGCATTCATCATGGAAGTGAAACCACTGTTAGCTCCAGTGACCAGGGATGCATCCATATCCCTATAAGGTTCACTGTAAGTGTAGATCAAGAAGGAAACTACTATTTTGCTTATGCTACTACAGCTAAAAACAGAAAATAGAGATGAAAAAGAGAAACATTAACACTTCTGGAATATTGACCTACAGGTCATCAAATAGTTAATTTCACAAATTGCAGCACCACAGGATAGTAAATTATCTTGACTTCACAAATTTCCCTGTGGAAAGAAATCCAAGGTCCTGCACTATGTGATTTTGCATTCAACAGACATAATTATATATTCTCATTCATCAAGGCTGCAGAAAGGAAGGAATAACGAGAAGTGGGGAGGACGCTGAAAAAACTACTAGTATTGTTTGGTTCAATAGTTGTTTAAGACTAAACTAAACTAAACCAAAGGAAGTCAATTGATAGCATTCTTGGGGGATCCTCCAAGCCTCCAAGTGTTCAGGAACCAGTGATAAAAAGTAAATGATAGTGAGGTCGTACAGAAAGACCCTACAAGTGATTAGGTAGTTAATACTTAATAGTCATACTGATAATCAAAGACCAAATCAAAATAGCTGATGTTAAACCCACAGGTACACGGTCGAAAAGATGTGATCCATCCCAGACCATTTATAATCAACTAAAGATCACAGCTTCAATCGGATGAAACATCTAGTTCATCGATTCATTTATCAGGGCCAACAGGAACTGCAGTTGTCTCTATGCCAGCGCTCCCAATAAACCCCGCTTGTTTCGAGCATCAACCCAGCGAATCTCGATGAAATTAGTGTGTCTAAAGCAGATATCCCACCTGCATACGATCCGCAAAGCCTATTGGTGTCATTCCCAATTATCTCAAAGAAATCCCTCTTCACCTCTGCTAGCAACTGAGCCCTCCTCTCCTCCCAGCTCGAAAGAAATCTATTCCTTCCTGAGCCCTGACTCTACCCCAAGGCCACAAATCTCAATAGCTCGCAGTAAAGGAGCAGTTCTCCTCTCCGATATGGGAACAAACAAAGAAATCCATCGAAATTTCTTGAAACAAGGCGGCGGCATCTTGAAACACAACTACTATGAAGAAGGAATTAAAGGGGAAGAGGTTGCGTCTCCAGTACCTGGAACTCGGTCTCCATGTTGGAACTTGGAACTCGGTCCTTGATTCGTGCTCTCCTTTCGTATCGTCGGAAATAAACTCGGACCTTCTCCCCTCGAACTCGAAAACGTAGGAAGAGCTGCTACTAATACGCTGGCTTCGGCTGGGCGGAGTGGTTTGTGGCTTTGTGCATATAGGCCCAAGGAGAATACTGCAAATTCGATTCCTCCATGGACCGTGCTGAGATTTTCTCTTATTCTTTCTGGGATAACGGACGGTGCTAAAAAAAGAGTGGCCACACGCCAACACAACACACATTATCGACACAAGTGTTGCTGTTGCATGGTTTGTGCTAGTTTCTGCTGCGGAATTCTACTGCTTCCTCCATTTTAAATTATAAGATATTTTAGTTTTTATAGATATATAGATAGTAAAATTAATTTAGAAAAATAAAAACATCTTATAATTTAGAACATTATAAGTATCTAGTATATGTTCCATGTTATTGTTGTCGTGTCTTCAAATATATACATTGGAATGTAACAATGAGTTTATATATTACTCCCTTGGTTTAAAAATTATAATTAAAAATATAATTCTATAATAGTATTGAGTCAAACCATTTTAAGTTTGGCCAAAATAAACTAAAAATGCATTGATATTATGATCTAAAATAAATGTCATTAGATTCATCATGAATATATTTTCATAGTATATATATACTCTCTCAATTTTTATTTACATGCGCATTAGGTTTGTCCTAAGTCAAATATATGTACTTTGACTATTGATTTTAGAATATATATATATATATACAGGTTCATGACATAACATTTATGTGATTTTAGAATATATATATATATATACAGGTTCATGACATAACATTTATGTTTTTAGATTCACCATGAAAATGAAAAATACTTTCATAATATATAATTTATAGTTAGTAAAATTATAAGGATTTTTCAAAATAGATGGTCAAAAATAGTAATGTTTGACTTAGAACAAACCAAATGTGACATGTAAAAAAACTGAGAGAGCACACATTTTGTGTGATAAATATTAATATTTTTTCTACAAATTTGGTTAAATTCTAGATAATTTTGACTAAGCTAAGATCTAAAATTGCATCATCTGTTGGACACGAGGTAATACTAGATATTAGAGTTATTTTGGGGTGCTTGTGTGGAATTCTAATACTTGAAAAACATACTTACTCTGATAAAAATATAAGTCCATTCAACCATGGCTAATATATGATTAATCACTTCCTTCATTATGAAATCTCCCTATTTTTAATGTAATACCGCGGCCGTTTGTTTTTTCAGAACGGAGTGTCAAGTACCCTGGCATGGCTCCCCCGGGTGCAAGGCGGCAAGATGCGCGCGGTCAGAGCCGGATGCATTGCGGCAGCCACGCAACGCAAGATCCACGCCGCGCTCCTCGTTGCCCCTCACTCTGTCTCTGGCAACTGGCAAGTGGCATCCCGCCGAGACTGCAAGGCTTCGCGGCGCACTGAACCTGGACATATAAGGGCGCAGTCGCAAAAGAAGAAAACCAGATGGATCCGGTTAACCACAATATATTTGACCAACCCAGCCCATATAGATGGGATCCATAATAGTGGTTAACAGCTAAGTTATATGACACAACGTATTTTGACTAGTTACAGATATAAAAGAAAATACAAAATCTCACAATCTTCACTTTCCACATAATACAAATAATGGTCCTCTATCAGCTAAGATGAAAAATATTATTGGCTAATTTATTATGAGAGAAAAACATTGTTCGTTCGCTGAAAAAATACGGCTCATAAGACAAACGAACATAGCTAATATTATTTATTGTCTTATGGGACTGACCATAGTTCCATGAGTATCTTTTTGTTATTTCTCTCCTATAGACTACTCATATAATATTTTAGTTACCTTGTATTAAATATTTTATTGGCTATAGATTACTTTCAGGCTATACTGTGGTTGTCCTTAGATCGGACTTTGTATGTCTTTGCTGTGCAGTCGTTGGAGATGAAGTCGGCTGTTCGGCTTATGGTTTTTCAGCTGAGATAAGTCGGTCGAAAATAATTTATTGCGAAAGAAAAATATTATTCTATAACTTATAAGCACGATAAGTTCAAGCGAAGGAGTCGGACCTCGTCAAGCCAGGGTATCGCGCTGCCGACAAAAACATAACCATAACAAGTCTTGGATATGAACGGAATGGCTAGCAGTATCTGCTGACCGTGACACTAGCAGATAGCGTCACATTTTTCTAGCACATACTCCGAGCAAGGAGCAATATTAACCGAAGCAGTGACGCTTCTACTTATTTTCTCCGGTTCTGGATTCAGGGCCCCCATCGGATTGTATGAAAAACGTAATATTTCCATTCCTATGAATTGAGGGGTACTGTAGCGCTGTTTGGTTCATAGAAATTCTTCGTCGAAAAAACATAGACAACTTTCCAACATTCGCTCAAACCTCATTACTTCTTTGTTCCTATGTTTTTTCTGCAGTTCATCCATACACATATTTTTATAAAATTCATGTAGTTTTCATCCTCTATTTTGCATATGCATTCCTATTCTATTCATGTGTTTTTTGTATTCCTGTATTTTTTTTTCAATCTTGTGTTCCATAGAGGGCCTCAAAATGTGACTAGAGCTTAAAAAATGAACTCATGTATGTTGGGTCAAAATAGGGACCAAAGGTCCAGGGTTGATGAAAGAACCACTCAACCATAGTACATGGAGACGGGAGACGGAGGGAGGAACCATAAATTGCAACTCTGGTTCTATGTATATAAAAAACAGCTCCGGTTCCTCTTGCATGCAAAAAAAAACTTTTCCTCATGAGATGTTTAGAGATGTTTCGTAGGGCTCCGCTAACTCCTTTGCGGAGTCAGAGCCAGAGGCAAAAAGATATAGAGAACCAAAACCCATGACCTTAAACACCTGCCTCTCCAACAAGCTAACCTTATACAACTGCATCGTCGGGAAATTCTAAATATGCCCTCACAAACACATGCATACACTACCCATCTAGGGGCATTTCCGTCCAATTTTATCTATCTATCAAACTTGCCTTACCTTCATGATTTTTTTTAGGAAAACAGGAGGGACGAGCCCCTACTGAAAATCAATTAAGTAAAGAAAACAAAGTGCAGTTACAAAGGCAGCATGGGAAAGAGACTTTTATAAGAAAAAAAAGGAGATAAACAAAGTCAGGCTCAGAAGATTAAACAAGATTGTGTAATCATGATACAATGGGAAAATAGCTTCTTTTTGGGCGTAGTAGAAACAGAGTAAACTCTGACTTAAATTCTCTCTTTGAGTCTTCGAGCGAAGGCAGCAGATGATTAAAGATGAGGCCAACCTTTTTCATGATTTAGCTGCCACGCTGATGTGTTCCTTCCAGCCTTCCAGATAATACGTTTTAAGTACGTACTTTACACAAGACCCCATTGCTGCAACCACAAGAACTTAAAGACTACTAGACAAATCACCATACGGAAAGACCACTACACTGTGCGTTCCCATAATTTGCAGTTTTATGTGCACACATTGACTGAACATGCATCAAGGTTTCATGACTCGTGATGATACAACACGGTTTTGTCAAAACCATATGATGATACTATGATGTACATGAATCCAAGTGATCATATATTTGTATAAACCGGAAAGGCAAAAACAGATTCAGTGTGCTTCAAGAGCAAATCCATTGCCCGCACTCACATTCTTGACATACTCTTGCCTAGCCAGATGGTCCTCCTGAGGCCGGTTTAATGCGGTCCAGACTGGTTCCCCAATGAAAAGCCTCATGAGCTGCACATGTAAAAGCACCAGAATTTAATATTAAGAAATGTAATTAAAATAGATGATCTCTATAAAGAAAATTTGAAAAATACAACCTATCAAAGTTCTTAATTTTAAAGAAAAACGTTACTACCACATACTTCCTACCAATACAATTGGCATGTTCTTAATTGTTCAATCATGTAGTCATTGCCTTAGTTCATGAAATGGATCTCAGGATGAAACCTTTGTTCCATTATCTAAAAAATGAGTTGTATTCATGATTGTGTCACAAAGAGATCACCAGTTGATCAAATTAATAGCTCCTACGATCCTAAGTGTGAAGTGTAAAATAAATGAGGACAATGATATGGGGAACACCACACCCTGACACCCCTTTGGGTCGGGTGACTTTCATATATATAGGCCGAACCGGCTTGTGTTACAAGACATGTGTACAACACATTTACACATAGATCATGTTGGTACCTTCGTGTATTTGGCGCTGTCAAGGGTGAACCGATGATATATTCCAGCTGGTAGGATGATCATGTCTCCTTCCTTTATCCAGATTCGAATCCACTTGTCATCTTTGTCGCGGACATCAAAGTACCCACTGCCCTCCAAGCAATAGCGGATCTCTTCGTCAGGATGCATGTGCTCACGGAAGAAGTTCTTCACCTTCTCCTCATAGTTTTCCAGTTTGTCGGGACATATCTCAATAAGATCCTTCAGAAACAACACATATTCAGGTAATATATCATACACAAGACGTGCAGAACACAGCATAAGAGATTCAGAAAGCAATTGGGATTATGGGAGACTAGTTACTACAAACCATGTAACTGTATCCTCTGTCTTTGCGGATTTTCACTAGCTCCTCCTCGCTTTCAGATTTCTTAGGGTCCAAATGCCAATACAGCACGCCAACATCTGCAAAACAGGATATCTACGTTGCTTAATTGCATAACAAAGCAGGTCCAGAACAAGGGCTTATTGGACTTTCTGAACACCCTGCTTGTGGGTAGCTGTAGTCAGATTTAGTACTAATTTGACACCTTAATGGCCACACAGTCAAGTCAGGAACCAAGGAGGTCACTTTGCCCTTGTCTGGAATCTGACTAGCTCACAGAAACTTTCACGAAGTACAGTAGAATTTTGCAGGTATGGCTGCAAAAATATGCTTGACTAAATTCATGCCCCAAGTTTATTTGCTGAGAGCAATTGCAGAGGAGCCATACATATTTGAACAAAAATGGACTTCTGTCTACAGAATCGGAATTTCCAGGAAGCACTGATAATGCTGATCGAATCAGAATTTGACAGCAAAGTGCAACTAAGTCTCTGTTGATCTAAGAACGTCCACTGAAACCCAAACGTGTACGGAAATATATCGAAACCGTCTGATGAAGTAATTGCGTACGACTTCCGTCTTCAAACAGGTGTGTTTGCAACAAAGCAGAAAGGCTTACCAATTTCGCAGTAACAGCGAAAAGCCTTGAATATATCCTCGTAACGAAAGGACAATCTTATTTCCGACAAATCAATAAGGAGCAAGCCGCAGATTGGGTCGAACTTTAGGTTTAGAGGGGCGCGGGGTACCAAATACGAAATTACCAAGCAATAATCCACATGAGCACCTTACCTTCAAGCTTAGAGAGCGGCAGGAATTCCCTGGGTCGTTGGAGGTCCTCGCCGTTCTCCGCCACGACCCACGCCTAATGTTGAAAGCAGATGAGCACGAGGAATAAATGGCACAAGGCACAACAGAAACGCATCGAGACCCCTAGAGACGATCCAGCCCATACCTGCGGAGCCATGCCGAGTGGAATTGGAGCAGCGGAACTGGGAGCTCTCTCGCTTGGCTTTTGGATTGGGATGCGCCGCCCTGTGCGTGTAGAAGAAGTCAACGAACGGAGGACGGATGGCTAACAGTGCCCCGTGGAGTGGGTTCCTGCAGAACCCAGATTGTTCCTCGGTTGGTTTTTGTGCCGTGTGGCTGTACGAGGCCTTGTTTAGTTTGTAGACGTAAAGTTTTGGGTGTTAGGTAGGCGCAGAGGTGTTTGATCCTAATAAAAAAATAAAGTATTGAATTTATTAGTAAATCGTTAAACGAATTTATTAAATTTAATTAATTTATTATTAGCACATGTGTATTTTGGTATTTTATTGTTAAATTATGGACTAATTAAGTTTAAAAGATTTGTCTCGTAAAGTAGTCGTAATCTGTATAATTAGTTATTTTTTAGTCTATATTTAATACTCTATACATATATCTAGGATATCCTGTGGTAGAGCTTGAAGAGAGCCGCAGTACACGATGGAAATTGGAGTTATTATTATTATTACTGATCCGGAACCGAAGGGCAAGTTGTCACTGTGGTTAAGCGGAAGAAGTCTAAGGGGGTGTTTGGTTCTTTAATCGCTCCTAAAATTTATGTCACATCAAATATTTAGAGGCTAATAAGGAGTATTAAATATAAATTAATTACAAAACCAATTACATAGATGGAGGCTAATTTCCGAGACGAATTTTTTAAGCCTAATTAATCTATCATTAGCACATGTTTACTGTAGCACAACGTTGTCAAATCATGGACTAATTAGGCTTAAAAGATTCGCTCTCAAATTAGTCGCAAGTTGTGCAATTAGTTTTGTAATTAGTCTATATTTAATACTCCATGCATGTATCAAACATTTAATGTGACAGGAATTTTAGGAGGAGGGGAAGGAACCAAACAGGCCCTAATTTCCCTCCCTGGATCATCCGATTTTTCTCCTGATCTATAGAATTAGTTTTTTAAATTCTCCTTAGCATTTAAAAGGTAATTGTTTATTTTTGCACTTTGAGTTGGCAGTGGTTTTGCTCATATTAGGCCACGTTGACTAAGTTAAAATTTTAAGAAGGTAGATGGGACTAAAAATTATTTATAAAAAAATATCTAAATCTAAAAGCTCATAAAAATAAAATTTAAAAAATTATCTAAATATCTGGTATTGCTGCGCTAGCTAAGTACATGAGTGAACCGATAATATGAGAGTGCCTCAATTGATCTCTAGCCATCCTCTTGTTCTTTTTCAAAGTCACACTGAGATCATAACATGTTGGAGAAGGCTCGCTATCTATAAAGCTGAACCAGTTAAAGATCTTCTCAACATAGTGAGATTGCAACAAAGTAATCCCACTCTGACCCTTAATAAGCTTGATGTTTAGAATCACATCAGTTTCTCTCAGATCTTTCATGTCAAAACTTATTGACAGAAAAGACTTGACCTCATTAATTACATCAATGTTTGTACCAAGATTAGAATATCATCACTATACAAATATATTATAACATATTCACCCCCACCATGTCGATAGTACACACCTACCAGCCTCATTAATGGCAAAGCTCACCGTGGTTAAAGTTGTGTCAAACTTCTCGTGCCATTGATTAGGTGCCTGATTGAAGCCATATAAAGATTTCATAACTTACATACCTTGCGCTCTTCATCTTTTACTACAAACCATCAAGCTAATCCATATAGATCTCCTCATCCAACTCTCCATTAAGAAAGTCGTCTTCACGTCCATTTGATGAAGGAGAAGACCATATGACGCAACTAGGGAAAATCACTCGAATAGTGGCCATTTTAGCAACAGGTAAATAAGTATCAAAGAAATACCTAGCTTTCTTCTAGGTATAACCCTTAGCCACAAGCCGAACCTTGTACTTGTCAATAGTATCATCAGGCTTAAGCTTCTTGCACACGTGATGCACCATATGTAGCATTCAGATTACCCCACAATGCCTTCGCATCTGTTATGTACAAGAACACATCTACCAAATGATCAACAAGGACATCAAGAACTGCTCCAAAAAGATACCATTGGTTTCCTAGAATCTTCTCTGATCTTCTTTAGAGATATTTTGCTCGGGCATGCTAGAGCTAACCCATAACACTTTCATGTCCTGTAGCCAGAGCATGGCCTTGACTTTCCACCACTTAAAGTGTGCACCGAAAAAAATTTCCGGCCCCAGCACATCAGCAAAATCAGCCATAGTTAATTCAGAAAAGACCAACAATTAGATTTTTGGATTATTGAGAAAGTAGGTAATTTCTAGATTAAAACAAGAATATAAATCATTACAATCTCAGATACTAGCATGTAAAATCCTAACAAACTAATTAGATTGAACAACATGAACAATGACATGATGAATAGCAACATGATTAAAACAACATGCATACAATAAATAGATTGGATCACGTTGCGTGTACCTTTCGTTTGAAGAAGGAGACGTCGTCACAAGTGGTGGAGACACAGTTGCTGGTGGTGGTGAATGATTGTCGACTAGCGGTGGTGGAACGTTGCCATTGAAGATGTAACAAACCTGCTGGCGATGGAGACGACGTCCCGACGCAGCCTTTGGAAGATGAGCTATCGTGGAGGTCAAACCCTAGTTCGATTAGATGCGTTTTGGTGCTGGCTGATAGGCTGCTTATATAGGCCTGTCCAACCTGATCTCGTGTCACGATTACAATTTAAACCGTTAGAACTACTATCCGCAAATTTAAAGGCCAAGAAACCAAAAATTAAAACTACAAAAGAGGCTATGCCCCAACCAAGAAACCAAAAACTAAACATGCAAAAAGAGGCTATGCCCTGCAAGGTCGGGGGGGGGCAAATTTTGGCAGACCATTCACACAGGTGTCGCGTGTCCACACCCTTTGTCGTGCCTAGTCTAGGGAGGCCCGATGAGGCGAGTGAGCGAGCACGTGTGGGCTTCCTTTCTCCTTCTCGCACTAGAATTGAGCGAGTGGAGACGACTTACATACTTAAGTATGACAACCTCCACTTCCACCAAGTAAGGTGGGACTAAAAAAATTCTCACACTACTCTTTGCGCACATGAATGGACCTTTGAGATTTCTTCATGGTAATTTTAGAATTCTATTTGGGCCTAAGCCCACGTATGTTCCAACAATCCCTCACCAGATCTCAAATGCCCATTTAGCAGGGTATGTGAGTATGGTTAACTCTTTGTTTTCTTTTCTCTGGGGATGCTGTCGTTGCTGGACCATGTAGGCTGCCATGGCCCATGGCAGACGCGGCCCAAAGGCTTAGCTAGGCTTAGATTCGGTCCATGCGTCCATCCGATTCCTCTATCTTCTCATCTCCGCCGTTGTTGACGGTCATTAACATCAATTATAAACCATCAATATAACCTGCATATATACATAATTCCATCACCAAACATAGGTCTAAGAGTTTAAACAAATAAATTTTATGAGTTTTGGTGAATCTGTGTTTTTAGCAGAGTTTATCCAGAAAACCGTCAAGGTGGACCTATTAGTCAAAATAAATCACATTTATCCACGACAAACCGACTTGGGAAGACTCTAGAACACTCTAGAAGACAACTCACCGAGACCCATGCCTAGAGGCTGACATGTGGGCCGGTCGGCCCCACCTACAGGCTAGCCGGCCGGCCCATGGGACCCACCTATCATGCTCTGCATCGACGTCGGTTCTTCCACCGTCATTGATCAGGTCCAATCAACGCCGTTGCTTTAAGTCAGTTTGATCTAAGGGCTCAGGATTGATCACTCCCCTTATATATAGCAGCCTCTACCCCCTCCCTAAAGCCATTCTGAAACCCTAATTCATATCCCCCTCATCAGGATTAGAGTCAACTATCAAGAGAAGATGAGTCCTCCATAGGATCTGGTCTTGTAACTAGAAATAGTGAGATAGAGAGTGAGGGAAGAGTTTGGAGAAAGTGCCGGCCTGTCGGTGCTCTGTACGGCTTGTACCATGGCGGATTCAAGTTCTACTTGAACTTCCATCTGTGATTTCTCTGGTAATCAACTTCTGATTTGTAGGATCTCTAGGAAGATAAAGAAGGCCTAGAGGGGGGGTGAATAGGCCTGTAAAAAATCAACTCAAAACTCTGTCAGAACAGAGGGCGGCACTACCGGCCTGTAGGGTGGCACTGCCACTCTTCGAAAATAAATCTAACACAGCTGAGATTTTACAGAGATGAACCTGACCCCATTAGCTGCTTAATCCTATAATAGAAAGATAAGATCCAGTTCGAAGACTGAATACCACAGAAACTCCACACAAGAGTGGATTGAGCCACCAAACCCTAACACCAGCTAGCAAAGAGCTAAACCAGTAAGTAAACAAGATGAAGCACGCGAGACACAAGATTTATCCCATGGTTCAGCTCACCACAAAGGTTTGCCTAAGTCCACGCTGTTGAGGAAGCCACAAAAGGCTTGGGCTTGCCACAAAGGCTTGCCTTACCCTCGTTCTCAAATCAAGAGGATGAACTCTTGAAGTGAGAGGTAATTTCTTAGCTCCGAGAATAAGGTTACAAACCTCTCAAGGCTGCCACATGAGTTAGCAAGCCCAAGGGTGACGCCTAGCCAGCTAGGAGCAAGCTCCAAGAGTAACAAACCCTAGAATCTTCGGCCAAACATGAACCAAATGCTCTTAGACTTTGGAAATCGGTGGATCTGCTCTCCAATCGAGTTTTGCTGCCTTTTCTCTCAAGTTTTGAAGGTTGGAATCAAGGATTTGCTTGAGGGATGGAGGAGCAACAATGGAGGAGAGAGGGTGAGCTTTGATTCTGTTCTGTTTCGAGCAGAATGGCTGAGTGAAGTAGATAACCGTTGTGGGCTGGGCTTGAAGGGTATAAATACCCCTTGGGTCTAACGGTCAGTTAAGGGCAGCACTACCGCTCTTAACAGGGCGGCACTGCCGTCCTAGCCAAAATAGGTAAGTTGAGGTGAAATTTGGCTGGCTGTTTTGACTAGTTGAGAGGATG